CAGATGCTTGTGGCAGAGATCAATTTTCGGCCATATCACCAGCCCTGAAACCAATTTATTCGTTGCACATACCTAAATAGAGACAAGGCACACGGTAACTGGGTCTGCGTAACATTGATCACAGAGATCTCAGTCGGTGAACGCTTACGTCATCATTTGTCTTTTTCCCACCTTCAACTCTAAGCTTAATCTTTTCTCTGATGACTGGATGGCATCACTATACATCACCTATGTAATGAAGGTGACCGTGGTCTATCATGGTCTTCACGTTCAGCGGCAGTTTCGAAGAGTTATAGTGGAACACAGTCAACTGCAGCACAGTACACCCAATCCCTAAAGGGGATCGGATTTTACGGTGGCGCTCTAAACGGTGAATGTTGGCGACGGCTGAGCTGGCCTTGGGCATCCCTGCAGAGATTTCATTGGTCTCTAACACAATATGATTGACTTCTTTTCCTAAGTAAGTTGGGTGGTCAATGCACCTATCCGTCGCGCTAACCATTGTATGATGGCACATACCCACAGACCAATCTGGAGCAACAATTCCCATAAGCTTGGGGAGAAACACATACTCAAATTACCACTCACAAGTCCAGAAGACTCTACACTTTGTCTTGTAATCTTTACCTACAAGGACTGTCAGCTGTGAACTCCAGGTCTAGTAAGATGTCACCTGTGGCAAAGTCAACTTCTGTGAAGTCACATGTGGTCAAACAGACCTCCATAAGCACGCATAAGGAAACAGTGAGCACGAATGGAGAGACTGGACATCCTTGACGGACACTATTCGAAGTATACAATTCAACTGACATCACACATTAGGCGTTAACACGCCTAGAGGTGTTCGGACAGCTTTCGAAATAGTGATTCTCTTGCCAAGCACCCCACACCCTAGTAGGAGACATTAACATTGCATCTTAGTTGACGGAGCCAAATCCCTCCTTCGGATTGGTCCCCCTAAATGCACCCGTTAAAAACCTCGTGTAGAGTGAATAACCGGACATACACCATCAACGAGGATGTGCAACTTATCCAAACCACCTTAGTCAATGGAAGTTCATAATCTCAATGGCTGACTTACCATCCTTCCCCGCAACACGTTGCCTAACGTCCACATTTCTCCTATAGTGATTCCACAATATGGGAGCAATAAAACGACAAGAACTCCATTCTTATCATACCTACTTTTAACGAGCACATTCCACAACCGTATGATAGGACGAGTGGTGTTACAAAATATACTCGTCGATCAATAGGTAACCGGCTATCTTGGTGGGACGAGGTCGCATAAGTTAGCATTTTGTATCGAAGATGGGGTTTAGTCAACAACCAATCTATTTGGGCTGATACGAATTTCCAAGTAAGTGGGGCAGCCACCACATTCAACCACGTCAATCCCTATCTTTAAATTGGGGGACCAGGTCAGATAAGTCCTGGAGCATCATCTTGAATTTGATAGGTGTTGGATGCATGATGGACAAACATAGATTTTCCTTTCGTCAAAATCATTTCTAAAGATGTACATTCGTGAATCTATGTTACAGTGGGCAGAACGTTTCAGAATTAAACCCAGTTAGTCTGACAGAATTCCTACTTCTGTGTTATGTGAATCGATGAAATCAGATATGTAACAAACAGTTTCAGTGGGTGGTACACTAGCGAACAATGAAGTGACATCTAGGGAAAAAATGACTTTACCGACGATGTCAACATCCTTAATGTTATCAATAAACTGCAATGTATCACGAATCGAATAAAGGGACACTTACCTTCTGACTGGTTCCAGTATTTCAACTAACCATTGGGCGATACAATGATAAGGAGAATCTGACATACCCAAAATAGGACGAAGGCGTAATCCTGCTTTATGTATTTTCCCCAATTCATAAGGACGTGGAATTACTGAACAACTGAGTCGGATGCGTTCATGCAAATCAGAGGAAATAACTGCATTATCTTTCATTTTCTTCAAGATACCTGTGAGTTGGATCTGTTTCTGAGACAAGAGAGAAGCAGTCTCAATCTGTCAGGGTGAAAAAGCTTGATAGTCTAAAACCAGTAGTAATGGAAAGAAAGTTCCCAAAGAATCCAGATAAATATATATTTACTTATTCTTCGGTTATTGAACTGAAGATACATTACTATTCTCCCTTCGCCAACGAGGTTGAACTGTGTTCGCAGGCACATTTTACAAGCGAACGCATGGCTCAGCCGATGTGCTGAGCTCCATAAGAGCAAGTAAACTACTAACATAAATATGCACTACTTAACTTCCCCTAGTTATTCAACATATTTTGCCCTCTAACCGGGAATAATTCTAGAACGTCCTCCCCACTGTTACATATATTCACGAATGTACGGCTTAAAAAATGACTTCGTCGAAAAAGTCTTTTCTTCGCTGCAAATGCTCTTTGTCTTTTTATTTTTACATTGGATAGTTCACGATGTTACTTCATTTAATCTTCCCAATAATTGCAACTTTCCAAAAAATTTTAAATTTATTCCATTCATGTTACCCGATTCTCTGACTGTTGACTAACTCGACCATGTTTTCACCCCTTGTAATCTATATCCACCTTGCAAACGACTCGAGAAATCTTGTCATCCTTCAACCTTTACGTCATCAGCTTGCAAAATTATTATTATAACCACCATTATTGTTGTTTCAACTTATCATCATCTAAGCCAAACCTTCTTAATGGATTGCAGTCCATATATATATATATATATATATATATATATATATATATATATATATATATATATATATATATCCCTGATGGATATTACTGTCGTCAATTCTGGTGACAGCTCTCCTTAAACCCTGACACTCCCACATCATTAGCAGCAAAGACCTTTGATTAACGCCACATACTCGCTCGGCATGCGCCTTACGGTCAGACACTGCCCAATCACCTCACGGTTGGCGGAGTTGAATGCCGTCTTCAAGTCAAAAAATATGACGAGTATCGGCCACCGGTGAATATGAATGTGTTCGTAGGGTTAAAATCTGATTGATACACCCTCGTCCGGGTCCAAAACGTTCCTGGTTTTCTTGAACTCAAGCTAGGCGTCGAATGACCACGGACCCTAGCATCGTGTACACAACGTCGTTCAAACTAATTGTCGCAAGAAGACTTCTCCCCATTCTTATACATTGGGGTGACCAGAAAAGTAGACCGGTCTGGCGGCACTACCTCTGATTCCTGTGAGCCACCTAGTGCCTCCACTTTAAGCAGCAATTTCTTACCTCCATCTTTGAGAATCTAAGGTGGCAAACTGTCAGGTTCTGCTGCTTTGCATCATTTCAAGTTCGATACAGCCTTCTCAACTTCAGGGAGATTTGGAGGACCTACATCTGCATCCCACTCAAGTTGAGGCTGGGTGTTGGGCAACCGAAGCGTTGATGCGGGTCAGTTGAACTGTACTTCAAGGCGTCCCGCCCAACGTTTTAGCTACCCATCGTTTTCGGTGATGATTTCACCGATCATCGCCTTCTCCTTGTCGGTATCCCCATTAGGCGCCAGTTGTTTCCCATCCCCGATGCCTTATCCATCTCTCTCGCCACCCACCACTGCTCGTGATCAACGCGAAGACTACCGGTCAACTTACGTTCAAGTTGCTTTCATTCTTCATCGTGATCTGAGTCAACTGGATTTTCCCCTCGCATGTTGCGGAAAGCCAACAACGTTCGCTAACGTGAGGGTTCAGGTTATCGATTGTCCTTACCACTGTTCCTGTAGGAGACTCGACATCAGACCAGGTTTCCTCAGGAACAACACTTCAGTCACAATCAGATAAATGCTTAGCTAACTCCTCCCTATATGCGTAACAGGTGTTCTCATCTACCAATCGAGTACGGACGTGCATCACTACCTCCTGTTTACTGAGGCCAGTAAGGCGCAAACATATACGACTTCGAACTGGCACTTCAAGAAGAGCAGCGACCCTCCCTAACTATGGCTTGTAGGAATAAGGTCTATCTGCATCCATCGTTGATTTGATGCCGATGAACGTCTTGTGAGACTGTCTGTTTATGCCTAGTTACTGCTGGCCAAAATCAAGTCCGAACAAGCATGCACCAGTCGATCACCGTTGTCGGTTCGTTGGCATGAGATTCCGTAAATGTCTACAAGTCGCCTTTCCGACTGGCTCACCTTCCCTACTTGGGCGTTAAAGTCACCTGCCATTATGACTCCATCTGAAAGTTTTGTTTTCTATAGCAAAGTTGACAGCTTCTCACAGAATTCATTTTTTGCTTCGTTTGACTTTCATGCAGACGGTGGGTGCGTAGGCCAAGATTACTGATGGCTACCGCCTAGTCTCACGGTCCTTCCTAGTTCTTACACATCCATTCAGTAGGATAGCACATAGGCTGCTGTTGATTGGCATGCATTCGAAAAGCGTACTTTTCGATCTACAATTTGAAGCTATGTTTACACTTGAAGCCCGAGTGTTGGTCTAAACAGTAACGAGATGCAAACTATCTGGCTAGGGTCACCAAGAAGACAAGAATCAGTGGCTGAGGATTCAGTGAAATCGGTGATAACGACGTAGATATATTCACTGTCTCTTCTAAAGCCTAAATTTTTTGACTGAGTAAAGTTTTTGAAAATCCTCTCTCCACCTGCTTATTTTATATTATTCTTTCCTAGTTTGTTGTTTGTATAGTACTGTGAATTGAATCAATGTCCTTGCGAGCAAGATTCTACGGAGATTTTGTGTCTGACTGTATTCCTTTTATGAGCTATTAAATATATGTTGTTCACCTGCAATGATTTCAACTCAGTATCGATGCGACTTATCACATCGACACCATTCTACGGTGATGGATGGGAAAAACGCGAAATAAGTTTATGAGTGTATACGTTAACTACATGGACCCTCAAATAGGAAGTCTACCGGGTGAACTGCCATATAACTAACAAACAAAAACGTCAGTTTGATCTGAACAATCAAAACAGGAAGAGAATGGGTTAAAAAGTTAGAAGACAGTCACAAAATCAATGGGAAATATTTATTTATGTAAGTATTACGGACGCATTTAGCGGTGGGATCATCTTAAATGTAGTCCATTAACAGAAATTGTTCAACAGTTGCGATATATAGTTCGGTATCGAGGCATTTTTAAACGTACTTATCTAGACAACATATTACTTAAATGTTAGCAAGCTGACCGAATAACAGTTGGACAGCGATTATACAAAAAGAAAATATTCTTAGTATTGGAACACTGAGGTTAGTTTCTGAAAATAGATCACATTGCTTGCAGAGCTCCATTTCCGCACTGTCTGACAGTTCGGTTGGTCACCTGGCCATCAACTTCCTCCGTAATTGTTTCCGTGCCATTTTCAACAACTTTCGTAACACGAACCATTTTCCCATTTACGTACTTAGAAGAAGTTGATACTGATCTGAAGTTGCCTCCACAAGGAGACCCACCAAAGCTACTGAAGACGGAAGCTGATGAAGTCCCTTGGGGACAACCAAACCCAGAACTGCTGAAAGCCATCAGGGGATCAAAAATTGATCCGCCGAATGGAGAGTCAAAAGTCCACCCATGAAGGAACTTACGTGCATGGGATCATAACTCTGCACCTGATTAGGACGTCCTGAATGGGAATTATGATAGGGTGATCCAGACTGCCGTCCAGCGCTGCGGTGAGAGTTTGACCGGTGAGTTCGACCAAAGTGGGAACCATGATGGTCATGAACACTAGGACCGAAGAAGGAATCCAGACCAGAGCCAGCGAATACTTCTCTGAATATATCCATTGGATCTCGAAAATGAAACTGGAATGGTGTAAACATGAAAAACGGATCAAGATCTTCGTCGAATACGGACGCCCCACTGGATCGCGGCCCCCACTCAAAACACCTTCTCTACCGTATTTGTCGTAGATCCCACGCTTTTTAGGGTCTGAAAGAACTTCATATGCTTCACTTATTAACTTGAAGCGTTTTTCAGCGTCTTCTTTTTTGTCGGGGTTCTTGTCTGGATGCCATCTTAGTGCTAGACGACGGTATGCTTTCTTTATCTCATCTCCTGAAGCAGTCTTTTGCAAACCCAAAATTTCATAGTAACAGCTTTGTTCCATTATGTTGATTCAAAGAACAAAGAAACAAACAAATCTACGGGAAGTCCAGGATATCAAGGTTCCAGACTAAAATTCCCACTTCTAATGTTGCGTACGACACCAAACAAGAGTGCGTCCAACATCATCTATCCAATATCCAATATATTTCTACGATCTAGCGTAAGCTGGTGGATTTCTTTATACTCACTTCCAAGTATTGCAGAACGATTTCAGGCCTCTCGTGAATTTCGAAGCAGTTGGTCTGCCTACTCGCACGTGGAAGCTCTGATTAGCCCGATTGGCAGTTATGTATTGATTAAATTTGTTGGGATTGTATGTTTTGTCCAAAGACTGTGATGCAGAAGGGTTCTTCAAAAGTCGTGTTGCCAAAAGGTTTTTAGGACCGGCTCCGAAAAGAAGATAGAATGAAACAAGGGAGGAAGTGAGAAAAGCATTGTGAAAAGAAACGAAACTAAAGTGAAGGTGACTTTTAGGTAGATTCGGAGAGGATTACGGTGATAAGGAGAACTTGAATACACAGGGTTGGGAGGAGGAGGAGCAAGAAGATTGTTTGAGGGATTGCAGGAGTAGTCTTATTACTAGGGCTAAGTAACGGAAGGTGAGACATCTTACATGGAAGCATGAGGTCAGGCCAAGTTTGAGATGACAGTGGCGGTATAAAAGATTCGGTATAAGGTTGACTGTACTGGATTATGCTGAGCTGATTAGTTGTTTCTACTCAGCCCGTATCCCAGCCGGATGAACTTAAATCCAGCGTCACTGAGTAACTGTTCAACCTCTTGAACTGTTGACGAGACGGAGCAGTGGCAAACTCGGCAGACGGTGAGTTCCAGTGGCTAGAAACTTGCAGAGGGAAAGATTTTAACGCAAGTGGGTTTGCTTTCTTTGCTGCACGGTTTTTCTCGGGTTACCATGCGAGTTGTCCCAATGGTCTCACTCGGTAAGATTCCACTGTTTGAATGTCCTGGAGTACTTACTATCTTGTACGCCGTTACGTCGCTTCTGGATGCTGCAGTTGGAAAAGTGAAGATGTTTGGCTGTTAGTCATAATATTCATCAAGATTATAAATCTTTGTTGTGAAATGGTATTGACACGCATGACTTATACAGTTCTGGAATCATCGATGAAGTATACTATGTAAACAACTCGTGCATACATTCCTTCATAAACTTTTCACCACTATCTCAAGCAAAAAGTACAAGCTGTTACAGTGGAAGTTTTTAGCCTCAAGCTTTATTTTTCTCTAGGTAATACCTGTGATGTCTAGATACAAACCTGGTTTTCTTTGTTAATGCGAAGACAATATTTCCACTTGTCCAACTTGTAAATTTTCTGCATACTTATTCTGCTAGGATGTTCCATTATATGAACATGCAGCACTTATATCTTCTAGTGACAACCGGTGGGGACTGAGATTACCTTACATGAAGACACGTGTAATTTATGCGTAAACTTATTCACACCTGTAAGCATGGTGTGTGCCTGCATATTCAGGAACAAATATGATTATTACTGTTATTATTATCATTACGAAGTCACCACCTAACCTAGTGACTGGTGGCTGGGTGAGTAAACCCCCTGAATCCTGCAGCCTGTCCTCGTAGGGACTTTTCCGTGCTCCAGCGGCATAGTTTGTTACTAGCCTCTGGACCGTTGCCAGGAGGTTCGCATCTCCTTTCAGGCATTTTGATGCAGGCGACCTTATGGACCCTTATGTGAGTCCACGCATAGGTCTTATTGAGCTGAAGGAGGTGTTCCATAGTGAGAACACCTATTCGTCTGTGCGTGTTTTCTCAGTGGTCGAGTGGGAGAGTTGCCTACCGCAGAGAAAGCAGGACAGGTGCGAAGAAACGTGGTCCGGTACTCATCCAGGTTCAAAGCTAGTCCTCTGTTATTCGCCCGGTCTGCAAGCTGTGTGAGCTCGCTTTTAAATGTACTTGATTCTGTTTCGAAGGTCACTGACCTCCACTACTGGGTAGCGTCAGTGTAAGGTGGAATAGGGGAGCTGAGACTCAATGGGAGGTCATTCACAAAAATAAAGAATGACGGAGGCTCAAGAATTGTTCCTTGTGATGCACTAGATGTTGTCCTCCAAGTCGAGAAAACCCTGTTGAATTTCTTGCGGAATTCTCTGCCGTTCAGATGGTCCTACAGCCAGAACAGCACCTGACCGTTGGTGCCCGACCCTCACTTTTTGCATGTGAGACTGCGTTTACTGCTTTTGCAAGTCTACGAAAACTACCTGAGCAGGGACTAAGATGACCCACATGCCATCCAGTTACCCCCGGCCTCCAGAAGGTTAGGGGCTCACAGACTACCCTTTCGGAAACCATCTTGAGCACAATTTGGCGTTTGCTTTTTGTTCAAGTACTCTCCGACACCGTTGTCCACCAGGCTCCCCAATACTTTCGACAGAACTGACAGAAGTGCAACAAGCTGATAATATTTTTGGTCCTACTTAGTTCTTCCTTCGAAAAGTGGGAAAGGAAGCATGTTTTTTAGGAAGTACTGAAACAGACTACAGAATGGACCCCATAGGTGATCTCCACATTGTTTCAAAACGGACGGTCCAACTTCACCGCATCCTGGTGATTTTCCCTCGCGGATCTTCGGCAACTTTCTGAGGACCACAACAGGGGCTACCTTTGTAACATGCAGCTCTTCCACACGGAGCAGTGCTGAAGGTTGCCCAGGTGGCTGGTAATTCTGGTCGAACGACAGTAGTATCGAAGGTGGCGCTAAAGGTCTCAGCAGTCTCTAGTCCGGACGGGTACTCTCTATTCAGACGCCTCATAAGGCAGATCCCCCGGTTGGTATTTTTTCTCTCCACCACTAAATGGCCTTGATTTCTGAGTTCTCTTCACGACTCTGGGTAAGGGTTATCCGGAACGATCTCCTATCCTCCCCATTCTGTTTTTGGATCGATCCCCTGGCACCATATATGCACTATGATCTGAATTTTCTGGAAATCAGCCATTTGTGCCATGCTCTCCTCTTGGCTTCCAAGAGGCGTTCAGCGCCTTGCTTCATCCACACGGCTTGTTCTCCTGTTACTGTTTTAACTGATGGAAAATTTTCACAGACATCTTGCGTAATCTCGTCCCGCACTGGTTCCCAGTGGTAGTCAGTAGGTGAGGCACTCTGCTTCTGGGATCATGATGATGTCAACAGGTATCGGCTCATCGCCACGTAGGCTACTTTGCTGCAGCAGAGATAGAGGCAAGATCCTTCTCATGAGTGTTCTTCACCAGCGACCATATAAAACACTACCATATCATGATCGCTGCTGTCAAGAAGGGTATGAATCTGAAAGCTTCCCGCTGAAGGGTGGTTGCGGCTAAGAAGGCAGTCCAGTTCGGAAGCTTTTCCGTCCAACAGTAGTGGGTGTCGTTGCCGATGCTTTCCTGGAGCCCGTCCTTTTCTGTGCCATTGAGGAGATTCTCGCCGGACGTCCTGCTTGGGTGACCTGGTGCTGGCTAACGTTGGAAGTAAGGGTTTCAGAATCGCTCATCGCGATGACCTTGTCGCACCCCCCACTGCGGATATTAGAGGGAGCAGTAGTCACTTCGGTTCTGCATTGCTGGCTGAGGTTTCGTGGCCCCTAGCAAGGTAGATGGCGTGTCCAACTACAAAGTAGTGCTAAATCGAGCCCTGGAGTCCCAAAAATATGTCTTCAGGAGTTAATTTCACATTTGAGAGAGTTAATCACAACACCGCCACTCCATCTCCCACCTTGTGTTCCCTATCCCTCCCGAAAAAACATACACCGCGGATAATGGATTCGAGGAAGCAAATATAATTGCACGACAAAGTGACTGGCAGCAAAAACATTGTGAACGAGGGGGGAACGGGGCAAATATGGTTCCATTATCCCACACAAGTCAAATCATATTAATTCAAAGAGACTTCCGGAGGCTTTTACGGCTTGACTGCCCATAGCTTTACGGGTAGTGATCGTCTGTTTCAAGTGGTTCGAATGATCGGTGACGGAATCGAAGAGGCTTTCGCTCTACTGGCTTCCGCGTCTAGAATCCGTGCACCGTTGGTGCCTGTGTTTGTTAGCCTGTGCACAAGTAGACGGAGACAGAGCAAAGGGTGTCGGTTAACTTATGAAAATTAAGTTGGTTCTGAACAGATCCCACCCACATTTTAGGTGCGTACCACGCCAGTCCCCCCCAAGCAGTCAGGGAAAGCAGCTTCGATCACCCCTGTAGGAACAGCATCTCAGGGCTGAAAAACTTTTGTGGAAAAGAAGTTGTGTCTGTCATCTAACCTATTATGTTCTAAGCCTACTTTCTAAATGTGTTCCTTAAGATTGGAGCTACACCTTACATTATATAAGTGACAGAGTGGGTGCCCAGAGGTGTTCGATGTATTGTGAGCCATTCCCGAGTCCCCTATTCATTTTCTACCTTCCAGGGAATATAGGCCGAGCTCAACCAGTCGTTCTTCATACATTTTGGACCTAAGCCCTCGAACCACCTTGGTTGACTGCCTCTGGAGGTTCCAAGCCTAATTTATCCTTCTGTAGACATAGGGCTAGGACGATGGTCCAGAACTCCAGGTGAGGCCACGCGAAGCCATTGAAAATTTGATGAGAGCATTTACGATCGAGTTGTCCGGAAAATTTTCCGAGGGCCGCCAGCGCCAAGTTTTCAAAAATGCCTTTCTGTTACGGCTGGCATAGCACTTCATGTCGAGGCACTAAAAAACCAAATCCTTCTCCGTCTGCGACTCTCCAAGTCTCATGCCATTGAGGCCGTATGCATGACATACATCACATTTTACGCGTACGACCCTGCATGTTTTAAGGAATAAACATGGTCCCATCACTGACTGCTTGGTTTTGAAGTCTTCCTGTGGGGAACCATTATCTTCCTGGCTTCTGATTTCTCCCCACCATTTTACTTCGACGGTGAAAAGAAGGATTTTAGAAGAAGCCTGTTGAGGTGAGTCTTTTATGTACATTAATGAGAGAAGAGGACCTAGTACTGAGACCTGGGGGAATCCACTATGACATTTTGTTGCCTCACAAATGAAAAACCTCGCTCCAAATCTGAATGAACGTCCTCGTATATTTGAGGACAACCAGTCAAGTAGTTGTGGCAGTCGG